TGTTTTTTCCTAAATATCATCCTTTGGGGGGCTATTGTAAATGGTATTGTTTTCCTAATGTCTTTTTCTGCACTGTCATTGTTACTATAGAGGGATTCAACTGTATTTTGTGTGTTGATCTTGTACCCTGCCACTTTGTTGAACCTTCCAATGAGGTCTAGTAGCTTTTTTACTGAGTCTTTGGGGTTTTCTATGTATAAGATCTTATCGTCTTCAAATAGAGAAAGAGTTTTATTTCCTCTTTGCCAATTTGGATGCCTTTAATTTCCCCATCTTGCCGTAAAGGTCTGAGTAAGACTTCCAAAACAATATTGAATAGGAGTGGTGCCAAAGGGCATCCTTGTCTGGTTCCTGTTCACAGAGTGAAGGCTTTCAGTTTCTCTCCATTGAGAGTGATTGTAGGCTCTTGGTTTTGTATTTATGCTCTTGATTATGTTGAGTGTCTTGCTGTGGTGCTATGGGTTTATGTGTCAGACTCACCAGCCATACCTTGGAAACCCTGTACAGGGTCGCTATGAGTTGGAATTGACTCAACAGCACTTAACAACAGTAACATGGACAGAATACTTAATGACTCATGAAGCATTAGAAGAATATAGAAGAAATACACAGTCATTGTACCAAAATAAGGCAGCATTCAGTCATTTCAGGAGGTAGCTTATGATCAGGAACCACTATATTGAAGGAAGATGTCTAAGCAGCACTGAAGGCAGTTGCAAAAAAACAAGATTTCAAGAATTGACAGAATGGATGCATGCTGGACGCTCACTCATCTGTGCCAGAGAACTTGGAAAACTGGTACTTGACCAACCAGCTGGGAGAGATCCATATTTGTGCACATTCCAAAAAAGGATGATACAACAGAATGAGGAAGTTATCAAACAATATCATTAATAGCACACAAGTCAAGTTTTGCTGAGTATCATTCAAAAATGGTTGCAGCAGTATATCATTTCTAGCAGTACAGAGAACTGCTAGAAATCCAAGCAGGATTCAGTAGAGGTTATGGAAATAAGGATGTCAGATGAATTTTTTCTAAAAGCAGGAGATTCCAGAAAGATAATTACCTGTTTTACGACCTGTGAAAATGCATCTGACTGTGTGGATTATAACAAACTATGAATAACATTGTGCATAGAGTTGCTGTGAGTGGGAACCAATTTGATGACACCTAACAACAACATCCTACCTCTTATCAGCTTGTCATGCTGTGGTGGCTTGCATGTTGCTGTGATGCTGGCAGTTATGCCACCAGTATTTTAAATAGTAGCAGGGTATACTCATGATGGGCATGTTTCAATTGAGCTTCCAGACTAAGATAGACTAGGAAGGAGAGACAGACTACTTCTGAATGTTTAGCTATGGAAAACTTAATGAATAGCAGTGGAACACTGTCAGTCAGCACCAGAATATTGAAACTATCCCCATAATATTGTCAGTCATAGTGCTGGAAGATGAGCCCTTTAGGTTGGAAGGCACTCGAAACACAACTTGGGAAGAGCTGCTTCCTCAAAGTAGAGTTGACTGTGATGACACGAATGGAGTAAAGTTTCTGGGACTTAAGTTTGCTGATGGGGCACAACTCTAAATGAGGAAAAACATAAATAATAAAACATTGTCATATGTGTGAGCCCCTGTGAGTAGTGTGGATGTGTGTGTATGCACATGTGTGTCTGTATACTTGTATGTGATCCCAAGTGTCTTCCTTTTCCTTCAGGAAGATTGGGTGCAGCTAGGGTTGTGGCCAGGGTGGGGATTCCTGTGATCACCTCCCTCATTTCCACACTTTCCATTCCTGGAGCAGGGAGGTGCTACTGCTCGTGTATGAAAGGAAGGGCATCTCACTGGGCAAAATGGACATCTACTTGGGCCAGTCCAGGTAGATGTCCACATCACTGCCCCTCACCTTTGAGGCCTACAGGTTTGGAGGGTACACTGTGGGTTAATGCGCCAGACTGCAAAGCTGTTTGAACTGCAAGGTCGGCAGTTCAAGCTCACCAGCTGCTCTTAGGAAACCCTATACAGGGTCGCTATGGGTCGGAATCTACTCGTTGGCACTTAACAACAACAACCTTTGGGTCAAAGGTGAGAGAGAGATAAACATTATTAATAATCAGAATGTGGAATGTACAAAGTATGACTCAAGGAAAATTTGAAGTTGTCAAAAATAAAATAGAATATATGAAGATCGATATCCTAGGCATTACTGAGCTTAAATGGACTGGTATTGACCATTATGAATCTGACAGTC